AGGTCCCATATGTTCTATATGCTGACAACCTCTGCACAACATGATTCGGTATGACAGCGAATATCGGGTGGCACTGGCCTGAACGCTTGCCGATCACCAGATACCTACGCGAAGATGCGTTCGTTTGAACTAGTTCATTACTCTTCATACGAGGATGCCAAGGAAAGCATCATGTCGGTTGCGGATATATAAATCTCCATAGTACGCGTAGATCATGAGAACTCTCCGTTGGCTTCTCCAGCATCTAACCAACCACGACACATCTCGACGGCCTAAATAAAAAATCAAAGTCAGCACATGCCATTCTCGCAGTTGGTTCGTGGAAGTTACTTACCCTTCCCCACTTCTTGAACATCTTCTCGCCCACCTCCTTGTCGACATTTGGCTTGAAGACCATGCGATCTTTCTGGTTAATCTCCTTTAGTTCGTCAAACTCTTTCCAAACGTCGACAGCAAAGCCAGCTGCGATGGCTGCGCCCAAAGCTGTAGTTTCGCGCATGGCAGGGCGGTCGACGGGAATGCCGATGATGTTTGCTTGAGTCTGTTCCAAATGGTTATTTCAGGGCCACTTCATCGGTATTTCCGAGTGACTTTACTTACCTGCATGCACAAGTTTGAGTTACTCATTCCACCATCGACTGCAAGCATGTTAAGCTTGTGGCCACTGTCCAGCTCCATGGCGTCTAGAATTGCCCTGGTCTGGAAGCAGGTCGCTTCCAAGGTTGCGCGAGCGATATGTCCCCGCTCAGTGAATTGCGTGATACCAAAAATGGTGCCCTTAGCGTCGTCGATCCAGTAAGGAGCGAAGAGACCACTGAAGGCTGTTACGAAGACACAGCCACCGTTGTCTTCCACAGATGCCGCAAGATCACTAATCTTGTGTGAATGTGTGATAAAGCCCATGTTGTTCATCAGGAACTTGACACCACTACCCGCAACCGCAATACTGCCTTCGAGTGCATATACGGGTTTCCGCTTTCCGCCAAAGTCGTACGCAACAGTAGCCAGAAGCCCGTGCGAAGAAATGACAGGCTTTTCTCCCACGTTGTAAAGCAAGAAGCAACCAGTGCCGTACGTGTTCTTCGCAGAACCGGGCGTAAAGCCTTGTTGACCAACCAAAGCTGACGATTGATCACCCAAGCACCCTGCAATTCGAACACCTTCCAATATACCGGAACGCAAGAATCCGAAGTCGTCTCGCGATGAAGACGGCACAATTTTTGGTAGCTTGACCTTGTTTTTATCGATTCCGAAGAAATCCAAGAGCTTGTCATCGTACTGAACGGTGTGCCTGCAATTGCATTAGCCGACTTTGTCGCTTAATTCGAAGCGAGCGGAGGTTGACATACAGGTTCATGAACATGGTTCTAGACGCATTGGTAGTGTCTGTCACGTGAATGTTTTGTTCTGGTCCTCCGTTCAGGTTATATAATATCCATGTGTCGATGGTTCCAAAGGATAATCGCTCCTCGTCGTATGCCTTGCGAACGTCTTCGTTGTGGTCAAGCAGCCACCGGAGCTTGACTGATGATGGGTAGGTCGATAGAGGAAGTCCACACATATTGCGTATGTCATCAGCGCCCTCCTTGTTCTTCAACTCACGGACCAATCCCTTGGTCCTCGTATCTGGCCTGGATTCACAAAGTCAATCGCTGCCCATTCGAATCTCGTACACACGTTTTACTTACCAAGCGATCGCATTACATAATGGCTCACCAGTATTGGTGTCCCAAACGACTATCGTTTCACGCTGGTTGGTGATACCGACAGCCTTGATGTCTTCGATTTCATGGCCGTTGTCGAGGAAGATATTCGTAGCCCGGTCAATGCATTGTTCTACCGAATGAATGATCTCTTTCGGGTCGTGTTCATGCCATCTGCGCCAATTAATTCACGTCAACTCTTAAGATTTCGCCTGTACTGACCCTGACTGAGGATATTGCTGGTTGAACTCGATCTGATGTTGAGCTACAGGCTCACCAAGGCCGTCGAAAATAATGAAGCGAGTACTTGTAGTTCCTTGGTCTATGGAACCAATAAAGAACTGCCTCAGTCTCCCCTCGTCCAAATTCGACTGTGGCTCTTCTGCAATTTCCTCTTTGGGGACTGGCTGCGGCTCAGTATCGTGCGCGGAAATGTCTTGTGTCGCCATGCTGAGAGATGTGCTGTTCTGTTCCACGGGTGTACCTAACCCGTTGTATTTATACGGAAGATGTCTTCCGTCCGCGGTCGGAATCGTAGAATATGCGCGGCGGGTGCAGCTGTTGGTCGCGAAGTGGTGCTTTCTAAAATTCGGTACCAAGAATGGTACTGGGTATTGCGACGGTACGGAAAAATTTCTAACCAAGCCAATCAGGTCTGACAACCGATTAACTTCTTTGCGGTGTCCGCGCTGAAGGATGTCTGAGCTGCGACGAGTTGAGTGCGGGTGTGCGGTGCCGCAGCAAAGCGCAAATGCCGATGGTGCTGTTCCGAGGGGGTGCTGCGAAAGTGTTTCGCGACAAAGAACACCGAGTTTGGGTGTGTATAACTTAGGATTTGAAGTCGAGGTGGTAAAAGGAGAATCGCAACAGGAACATCGTAGAAGGACGAAGGTTTCGGTGTTTAATCGGCAACGGAATCCGAGCGCGTGCCTTTCCTATGCGGTGTCTGCGGTATGACGCTCGAAGAGGGGTGGTTTTGCCTTTAAAGCGGGGGAGGGGAATAGCTCCACGACCAACAACACGACAGCAAAGATGCCCAGCCTTGTCACATGGAGCCTCAAATCTTTCAGCCTCCTCCGGAGCTCGAGAGTCAAGCCGTTGATCGGTCTTCACATCGTCGATCAGGCCAAATGCTAGCAAAACTAGACTCCTTGCCCGGCAAAGCATCCGCGCGCATGTCAGTGTGACTTCACATACAGCGGGTCGCGCGTCCAACAGATCCACATAAGAAGACGCCGTCGGTATTTCTCCAGTGGGACTCCAAGGGGTTGTGGGACACCCGCATCGAATCCACCCAGAGCCTCATGAAGCTGCCAGCGGAATCACAACATGGCGCTCCGTGCTCATATTATTGACAATATAGCTCGTCGGCTTTCCCCCGGATTTCACGACTTCTTCACCGGCCAACGAACATCCATTGTGCCAAGCTGTCGACGAAGCTCCCCCTGGTGCTGACGAGCTGACACGATGTCAGTACATGTCGTTTAACTTCGACAATGACTCGTTGTTCTACTGTGCCACAATGGATTTCCAACTGCGCAGATCAATGAATAGGATGGAGCCATGGATGGCATTCAGCGTGGCGACCACGCAAATCCGATAACAAACATAAAATCAGCATGTCATTGGACGATCATCGTGCAACACCTGCGGAGGACCACGGGCGTTCTGGACTTTAAAAAGGTTCAGGGAGAGAAGCTTCGAGACACTGTATTCTGCATCTCGGAGGTGCGGGCATCGGAAATGACCATGCGTAATGTGTGATGAGTTGGTTCGGACGTGGGATGGTTACCGGTATAAAGTTAGGCATCCGCGCCAAGTGGAGCGGAGTGGGTAAGGCCTCGTAATGGCGGAAAGTCAAACTAATGTTGGGGATCGCGACGGCACGTGACGTCTGCATGGGGAAGGTTCTTGGCCTCCACAACACCCGCCCCAATTCATCCTCCAGACATGTCTATGCAGTTACTGCCAAAAGAACTGCGCCTTCAGATATGGGCACTAGCGTACTACAACGAGCCGCCTCGCCTGGTAGCACTGGAGACTAAACCCCACGACGAGGATCATGACGAAACGCACTTTTGCCCGCGATACTCCCCTAGTTCTGCGCCAGTGACGGTAAATCTATGTCATGAGTCGCGCGAAGAAGCTCGGTACCAGGCTGTGAAAGCAAACCATATCCTGCAGGTACCGTTCAGTAATTCGGATACTGGCTGTGGCGAATTCTACTTCCGCATCGATACCGACATCCTCTTGCTACAGCTAGAAGGGAGGCGTGTTAAACATTACGACGACTCGCCCGAAATAGGACTACTGGCTCACTTCAGCCATGCAACGGGGTGTAATCCCCAAGAGCTGCAGAAGGTCGCTGTTACAAAAGTTATACTGAATGGATTCAGAGACGGCAGCCTATCCAACGTCCTACGCGATTTTCCCAAGATATCGCACATGGTCATGATGCTCACCAACGAGATACTAGAGGACGATTTGGAGAAAGAGGTGTTTGTTCGCGCTGCTTCAAGGATAGTTCGCATGTACAAACTCGACTTGATGAACCTAGCTACTAGTCAGGGGAAGACGTTCAAGCCACATCCCTTCAACGTGGATTTTGCAAGGCTTCATCATGGTCGGTTGGATATAGTCTCGAAAGATGTTTGGCGTGACTGGAGCGATGGCGGAGAAGAATGGGCAACGCTCGATAACTCTGAACCATTCTGGTAGCTTACCAATCGCAGCGCATACGATGAACAAGCTGTGCGCATACTCTCACAGATGATATCCACAAGCAGTAGATAATGGGTCATACATGTAAGTCGAGAAATGAAACACACAAGAGCTAGGAAGATACCGGAGTAGAACAGCCACAGTCAACAATGGCCGGCACAAGCATAGAACACCCTCGACCGCGCATCTCAGCTCCTAGAGCCTGTATCGCCAAGATAATGGCGTTCAGAGCTCAATCTGACCTGTACCATCAATTGTTTTCCGGAGCCATAGCCAGTATCTACCATATTACCCGACAGATTTACGCTCCGGCGATTAATCATATCAGGTGTGGGTCTACAAGAAAAAGCAAGTGAGTGCATAATCGGATAAGCATGCGGTCGACCCATCGAAGGACATCTAGGCCATCGTCCACCTCAGCCTTGAAGACTGCAATACCATTATGAGATACAAAAACAAAGGGAGAAGGCGATCGTGAAGAAACGGACTGTAAATGTTTCTTCTCAAGTCTAGCTATAGCCGTTTGAACGGGACTCAGCAACGTAAAAGGTCGTACGTATATCATAAATCTCAACACTATGCTTCGATCTTAACCGCAGCTCCGACCTCCCTAATCCTCCCCTCCAACCTCGGCGCAATAGCCTTTGTCCAATTAACCTGGAACTCACCACCACCAAGCTCATCACACAGCTTAGGATTTCCTTTGAGACCAGCAACACGCCACCACTTCCTCATAACCCTTCTGATCATCTCCGTCTGCTTGTCTGTGAACTGTATTGGCACACGGCTATCATACATCGGTCCGTCGTCTTCATCTTCATCGACATCCGGATCTTCCGAGTCGGTCGTGTCGTTCGGGCTGTTGTCGCGTTTGTTCGAATCACCCAGGACTCTGCTCACGCCTTGATCCACAGGAGGAGCATTGTTACCACGGGACTGGGTAGGAGATGTAGGAGATGGGTCGTGAAAAGCGTGACCGTGGTTCTTCTGCAGATTCGTTTGAATCGATGTAAATTTCGTGTTCATGGATTTGCCCCAGCGTTTCCATTTGCCTAGTACTTTGAGAGACATGAAGTATTGGCGGAGGATGGTGGAGATGAGAACGCCGTTTTCTTCCGAGACGAGCTCTTTGGCAACTCCGCCTTCCTCTTCGATGAGGAGGGATGTGTAGCCGTCTAGGTGTAGTTGATTAGTGGAAACTCTTTGTGCATTGGGGATGACGTACCTTTTCCACGGCCCATGTACCCTCTTGTAGCGAGTACGTACTCTCGCTCCTCATCTACAGGTTCCTCTCCAATCGTCACATTGGAAACCCGCGAATGTGGTGGTTTCGAGTAGTCCGCTTCAAAGGTAATGTTCGATACTTGCGGGAATCTTCCTTCTAGTGCCGGGTAATTGCTGACGCCGTTTTCTAATGCTTCTCGAATTGCCTTGCCGGTGACCTTCAGTACCACGACCGGATCTTCAAACGGGAAGCAGTTGACAAGATCCCTGAGCTTCAACAAGCCAGGAGGGTAGATTTGATCTCCGCGTATCGTTCCGGCTGCCATGATACAGCACTCGGCTGAGTAGTAGTACCTCATGAGATCGCAGACAAAGTTTCCAATGTTCGACTCTCTTGTTCGTACGGTTGTGAATCGGGCGTCGAGTGGTGCGGCGGTATATCCGATAGGTTTGTCTAGTCGCTTTCTAATCTCCCGTGTCTGTTCTTCTACCAGCGCCATGGCCTGGGGATCTTGAGGTATACTGCTGACAATGTCTCGCCGTATGATTTTGAAGTCCCATCCCTTGCCCTCTGGCTTCCGCCAGGCCTCAACGTGAGACAGTTGTTTGAAGTCTGTGCCTGACCGCAGTACTTGTGTTCCATTGATAAGGTTGTAAGAGTAGTAGTGGTCATGTCCACCCAGGATTATATCAATCAATCCTCCTCCAACTTGCTTTGCCAGCTTGTTGTCGTTTGGCTCTCGTTGATGCGACACGCAAACGATTATCTCTGCGCCCTGCTCCTTCAGACCTGGTATGAGTTCCTTCGCAGTCTCAGAGGCACTCTTGTATATGATGTCCGGTGGTAGCGCGTTGATTGTATCAAGCCACTCTCGTTCTGCGAGTCCGATGACGCCGACTTTGATGCCGTTGGATGCCGTGAGCATGATCGTCTTCTTCGCGTTTCCGAGAGGGACACCGTCGCCAAGGGCTGGATCGTGGACGTTCGCGAGGAGCCATGGGAATTTGCATTTGGCTGTGAGGTAGCGATACTGCTTTACGCCAAAGTCGAGGTCGTGGTTCTATTTAAGCGTTAGTTGGAGTCGGTCTCTGTAAAGTACGATGTACATACTCCTACGCAAGAAACGTCTGTGCCAATGTTGTTTAGTACAGGGACCATATGGCTTCCTGGTAGTAGTCGTCAGTCTCCTTGCATAAGCTGTGGCGATCCGGCTCACTGACCCTTTGTGATACTACTCTCAATGCTCGGGTTGAACGCATCACCCGAGAAGAAAGTCAGAAGCTTTGGTTGGTCCTTGAACCTCTCATCGTCCCTATAGTAATTTACGAGGGTTTGAAACCTCGCATATCCGCCAACAGGCTCTCTTGACCCCGCTTCAACGTGGTAAACATCATTGTAGTGTAAGAAACGTAGGTCTGGCGGGGCATTCGGCACGCCACCTTCTGGCTCGCATATGAGCAGCTCTTCCGCTGATGGGTGGTCTGTGGGCGCCATGATGATTTCCGAATCTATATCACACTTGTACCAACTTGAGAGATAGTTGTCGTTAGAATATGGTGCTCAAGGCGCTCGTGTCGCGTGTTCGAGCGGTGAGTATGCTGCGCATCATCAATCGTAGTTAGCGTTTCAGGGTCCAGATGTATCTGGCCAATGACGATGACGCCCACTCTAAGCCGAAAGGGATCTGCAAGGGGCATTTCTGAGGCTGACGGCTGCTGACGGCTATCGTACCGCTGCCGCGTGGTATGTATGAAGGCCGCGACAACCTTGAAGCTCGCAATAACCATGTGACACAGCATCACCAAAACCTCAGCCTACCAAATACCGACCTCTCGTTGGAAATAACCCAAAGGCAGTCCAATCGAGCTTAGTTCGCCTTAGGGTTTTTACAAGAAAACGTTCAAATGCCTGCGAATACTTCGCTATTGATATACGTTCTCTGTTAAGTAGAGCCAACGCAAGTCCATATACAGTAACATTGACAGAAAAGACAAAAGAATGTGCTTCTCGATGCCATATGCCAGACGATGCAAAACGCCAGTGTCCTCCAGAGCGGATATCACTAGACCTCGTAGTCATAAAAAGAGATGCGCCGCGTAACCAAGCCTAGTAGAAACGCCGAGAAACCTACACAAAGAATCCAAAGAAAGCCGCAGACCGCGGCTGGAACGCTGCTAGAGAGCATTCCAGCCATCCCAGAGATTTAACCTAGCCTTGCCCTTACCCTTCGGGCCTTGCCTAGACCCAGCCGCCGCTGGACCCGTCCCAGAACGCCTTGAACTCCTTCCTAATTCCTATTGTCTACTACTGCCTGGACGGCCCCCCTTCGCCTTGGTCTTGTTGTACGCCTCCTTGCAATCGTCACTGCAGAACCATTTGGTTCTGCCAGTAGGCGGTTTGTCAAGATTCACACAGCCAAGGTGGAACCACTCGCGGGGGCAGTCATCGTTGTCGCAGGCAATCATGTTCCCGTAGGAAACTTCGTTACAATAGCAGTATCGCGGCTCGTCGCCATCTTCCTCCGATTCGGCCTCTGGTTCGGCCTCCACCTCGGCCTCTTGGTAATCTTGTTCTTGTGCGACGGAGCTGGCAGCGGAAGATGGAGGGTTCGACTTTACGTTCGGTGTGGGCTTCAGGGCGGGAGAAGCAGTGGCGGTAGTCGATTGCGTGTTCTTCTTGTTGCCTCGTTTTGATCCGGCGCCTGTCGTGCTGTTGTTCTCTGACGACGTGGTGGAGTTTGAATTTCCATTGTTCACGTTGCGGCTGCTGCGACTTCGCGCCATGGGTGTCTCCACAAACGCGCCGACAACAGGTGTCGTATTCTTGGAGTTCCGACCGGATCTCACGGTGGCAGATATCGGTGCGGGAGCGTCAATGTCCATGCTCTCTGGCTCCGGCTGCCCCAAGTCTTCTACCTTCATGTTGGCTGTATCAAAGGGCGGTGGGATCTCTGTACTCTCCTTTGGAGTGGACGCACCCTTTGCCGAAGCATTGTCTCGCACAACGCCAGCAGCCTGTTCCAGCTCTGTGATGGCATTGCTGCTAGCGGCTTGTTGCGCAGAGTGCGAGGATGACGGGCGGCCTGCAGCTGTAGCCTCTTGGTCCTTGATTGACGCCACCGAGTTGGCTGTGGAGTTCTTCCGTGCACGGGCGGACAGTGTTCGTTCCGATGCGCCGGCAATTGCTTTGTTGATGGGGAAGTTGGCAGCAAGGGGTGACGAAGCCATAGGGGGCGAGTACGGGGGAAGCGGGTTCTTGCGTTGCGCAGCCACGGGTGCGGCACGAGGTTTGCGTTTTGCTGCGCCGTTCTCTGGACCTGGCGTTCCCCGTGGGCTCGAACCACCCCGTACGCCGTTGCTAGTTGCTTTCAGAGCACTGCTCAGTGATCGCTCCATGGGCGGAGCTGCCGGTACCGCCGCCGCCGCCGCAGCAGCAGCGAGGGCCTTTTCAGTCTTCTTCCGCTTGCCATGAGGACCTGTGCCGTTGCTTGAGATGCCCAACCCAAGGCTTCTGCTGTCTGGCGCTGCTGTCTCTGCAGGCAAGGGCTTCTTCTTCTGCGGTCTCTTGGCTGGTCTGTCGTCGAAGTCGGAGTCAACCTGGTGGTGTCGACTGCGCTTGTTCGCCTGCATGGCCTCACGTCTGGCCTCGCTTTTGGCCGCAATTGAATCGACGTCATGGACATGTTGAGCGGCCGCGGCCAGGTTATTCGCCGCAGCCACCTCGCGCCTCTGCCGCTCGTGGGATGGTCCGCCCTTTTTCTTCTCCTCTTTGTCCGCATATGCCCAGTGTGTAAGGCTGCCGTATCGCGCTTCGTCGCTGATCTCGCCGTCGAGCTGGGCGAAGGAGTGGTGCATGCGTGTGAGGCCCTTGTCTTTTGTGGCTTTGGCGCCCTGGAGCACTACCAGCTTCTCGTCGAGTATGGGCAGCGTGTTCGCGATAATCATGCGGAGGCGATAGAAGAGCTGGCGCTTGGTCATGGCCGAACGTTCTTCGGGGGACATATTGTCGGGATTGAGCTGGCAATTGTGAGTTTCTGATACTGCTATGCCCTTCCTGGAGCTTACGTTGGCGTTGGCCTCAGACGCTACAGAGGCCTGTTCTATAGCAGCCAACTGGGCCTTTGTAGTGACGGGCTGCCGGGCGATGTCGTCGAGCAGCTCCTTGAGCATCTGCTCCGGGTCATGGAGTTTGGCCTCGACTTCCTTGAACATGGAAAAATGCTTAATTATCTCCTTTGGGAACGCATCGACGGCGCCGCTAAAGTGGGTGAGGGCGGGCAGGAAGCCGGGCGCGCTGCTGGAAGCTTCGGGCGTCTGCTCCATCCCGCTCGCGTTGAGGCGGCCGGCAAAGGTGCGCGCATAGTAGTTGGTAGGTCGGACCGTAGCCCGCCCCTGCCTCGTAGAGGTTCTTGTGCCTGTGGTCGGGGGCATGGTGGCTGAGAGGGCGCTCTGTGGGTAGCAAGGCGAGGAAAGTGGCCGCGAACGCGCTCAGCCCAGGATCGAGTGGTTAGAAAGAAGTTGCGTGGTAGGAATGACGTGTGAGCGCATCTCAAGCGATAAACAGGGGTTTGCTGGCGCTTCCAGCGATTTGCCTTTTGGGTTTGGTGACGATGCGCAGAACAGGAGCTCCTCACTGCCGCAAGACGCTACAAGCGCGAAAGACGCTAAACACTGTTGACGGAATGCGCACGTGTTTTCGTTTTCCGGTTATCGGCGGTAGCTTGCCCGATAGTGACTAAGCCGCCGCCAAGCCCCACTCCTCCATCATCCTCGTCCACTTTATCCGTCCCCTTGCCCAACTCCCATGCTTGTGTTGGACGCTTACGACTACCTCTCTTCCATTGTCACTCTGATCTACGCGCCCGTTGTGTTGGATGTACAGGGTCCTTGTATATACATAACATGGTCGGCTAACTCCCAACTGGAAAACCCTCTGGTAAACCTCCATCCCATGTCGTTCCAGATTGCAGAACTCACTCTATGATTCACTACGTGCAGACTCGATGTTTTGCATCTGATTCCACTTCCTGGAGTTCAGAGGAAACCCGGCGAGTGAAATTGCAGGTATCCAGCCCCACGAACACCTTTGGCCACGAGCTACAACTCGTGCCGCATTCCCTTAAAAGTACGAGTCTCAGAAAGATAGAGAAACTAAAACCTTTGAGATCATAATTATGGGAGTATAAGCCAATCGTAGACCATGCCATAGCCGCTCGGAATGCGCCTATTGGGTCCCTGCTAGTTCTTTGTGGCGTAGTAGACTGTTTCGGTCCGAGCATAGTAGTAGAGAGATTGCCGTTTCGAGCCTCATACTTGTACGGTATGCCGACATGTATATGCAAGCGGACTACCCTGGGTTGATTGACTCGTGAGGACATTTGCTCGCCCGTTCACCAGACAAGCGCCGCGCAGCTTCCTGCGACGTATCGGACTTGTCGATACCTAAACAGTAAGTACACTTACGCAAAACCAACGTCTTAGGATACGGCGTGGAAGCTATTCTGTGTCTACCCTTTCAGAAGGAGCTCCATTCACAGGGGACAGGAATGCGAACTGTTGGTACGTACCTGAGCCGTCGACACTCAATTGCTGGACGTACACCATCGCGGCTACGTCGCTTGACAATCAGTACGGGGGGCTATGCGTTCACATGAATCATGTCGTTTGAGTCAACTGTACTTGCTTTCTTGTGTCACGTCTCGATGCTTGGTTTCTAGCTTTCAGTTCGTATTTGCATGACTCCATTCACTCCATTTCATTCCATTACTTTCCTTACCTCAGCTAACCCTACTTCAAATTACTCAACCAGTTTTTTCTCACTAGCATCTGGCCCCCGCCGATACCATCAGGGCATTCCGCGGGCGTTTTCTGGGCTCACCCAGCTCCCTCTGTGCCACAGCTCAAGGCCAACTCGTCCCTCAGGCTGTCTTTTACAGTGGTTGTTTTATCAGCTACCCATCCATTCCGTCGTTGATATACAAGTTTTGGCCTACGTGGGCCTTCACGCAGGGAATGTAACACGCGGCTCGAGGGTGGCATTGGTCAAGTATGAGCAAACGAGTCTCTTGGCAGGGCATCTGGTCGACTATCGTGAGCTCACGGGTTCGCCATTGGCTCAAGCTGCCAGGCAGATGGCCGTTCGGTGAAGCTCTAGTGGTCTCGGGCCGCAGTGCGTCGCATTGTGCGACGGTAGTGTGAATCAAGGACGATGGCCCATTCGTGATCCAAGGTGACGGGAAGATCCATCAGGTGGTAGCGATCAAACAGCGGAGAATGTGTCATTCCAGAGTCACCTTCACTTTTCGTCGGCCTATCGCACTTGGACCGCCGCTGCACTGCGTATAAGATCTTTCGCTCACCTCTCTCGAGACTTCCTTCTCCATAATCATACTATTGTGAGATTCAGTGCAGCCAATCCCATTTCAACTGGTGTTCTTCTCTACTTGATAACACATTTACCCCCGGACTCGCTCAACATGCCCACCGACCCCAAGACCAATATCGATGATGTCTCAGGCGCTTCCCTTACGACTGAGGTTACTCAAGCCGACAAGATCCGCAATACGATGGCGTTAGACTTCGTCACTGGTCCTATCAATACTCCTGATGGCACTTCCAAGCTTGTACCTGCGCCGCCTTCTACACCACCTGCACAGTCAACAGAAGAAGAGACTTCGTCGCCCATCGTGGACACTCCCGACACCGTCATGACCGCACCTGTAAGTACTAATGACTCTGTTTCTTTTCATTCCTTCACACCATGACAAGTCACCACGTTACTATTGAAGCAGTAAGTTGACCGATATTCGTTTGATAGAGGGAAGAGCCTGAAGCTTCTGGTGACGAAAACCTGGATGACGGCGAGGATGTACCCGACGATCAGCGCGAGTTCATCTGTATGAATGACGAGCACACGCGCTGCATGACCGGCCAGTACACCAAGGACCTGTTAGTAACCTATCTTTACGAACTGTATGAGATATACACTGACTGATATCTAGGTCACGCAAGGTCATCTCTGATCACTTCGGCCGCAACAAAGCATGCACCCGCGATATCACCGATTGGCCCCTCTTCTGCCGCAAGCACTACCAGCGCGCGACCTACAACAAAAAGAAGTGGCAGATCCGCAAGGTTCAGCTCATCCTCCGCCAGTTCGATATGATTGAGAAGGAGTTTCCGGGCACCACATACGACATCGCGTTCAAGAAGTCCGAGGAAGCCCGCCTCAACTCATACTCCCGTCAAGTCGCAGCATCCAGGGGACCCTTGGCTGCGGCGAAGAGCGTTCAGCCCAAGGAAGGCAAGCACTTCGAGGCGCCCATCGACGTCCTGCGTGAGCTGGACCAGTATGTCGGTGTTGACAAGAGCCATGACCAGGTTCAGAAGATTGTCGACGTCATCCTCCAGATGCTTGAAGATAAGGAGACCGATCAGGTTCCTTCGATCGAGTTTCTCCCCAAGCTCCCTGGCAAGGCTGCTTCTCCCAAGAAGGCATTGGCTAAGGCTCACGCACCGAAGTCTCCAGCGAAATCTCCCAAGACCCCTTCTCGCACCTCCAGCAAGGGTGCGGTCAAGAAACCTCTGCAGAAGGCTTAGATCAGTCTTGTTGACACGATAGCCAGCACCGCGACCAACGCACCCGCACACCGCTCTTCAGAGGGCTTGTCGCAGTCTGCAAAGGCAACACATCTGGCATCATAACCCTTCACTATTTTGCATTCATGGTCACGACGCGTCTAAATTTCTCAACATTTGAATACTGTATCATTCAAATGTCGGAAACTTTGGGCGCTATCATCAGTCTTCCTGCGTTCACGACATTTTGACAACGACGAAACCCAATGACACCATCACGACTGACTTCTTCCTCTCCGCTACACGCTGTCGTCTCACATATCAGCGTTCCAACGCAAGAGCAAGACTGTTGGTATGGATGTTGAACTCGTGTATGAAGCCCCAAGGCAACAGATCACCGGCTTTTTTCTTCGATACCCCTCATCTTTTACGATGGGCTTGCATTACAGGTAGATTTTGGGGGCGTTTTGGGGAGATCTTTTCACAGTCGTGTGAAGAATCAGCTCGGTATTTAGTAATGAAACAACAAATCTGATAGACCTCGTCTCCCACTTTCTTGCCATCTCTGTCGCTCTTCACTCCTAACATATCCGTTCAACAGATGTCGTCGATGTCGCACATGCAAGTATAACGTACCTGCATATGCATCCGCGGCACGAAGTGTGCTCGCGGCGGGAGGCGCCCGGGGACCCTCATGCATCCGTTTCACCGATATGACATGCCTGTCCGGCAGACACGTTGTGGAGACTTGTTGGCCGCCGGACCTGCATGGCGTGGGTCTGTGGGCAGTTCTTGGGGGCCATTTCATCGCTGCGGCCTGCGGCCTGCGGCGTCTGTGCCGTGCCATTTGTGAGGCGAGAGGCGAGAGGCGTTGATCGGTGAGGGAAGTGCCGCAGGTGAGAGGACTCAGGATACTAATCGGGCCGAGGGTGTGGCACAGGTTCATGGATCACGGGGATGGGTTATAGGGTGGCGATTTTGAGGACTACGGGTAGTTCAGTTGTAGAGGTCGTTGGGATGGTTCGTGTGTAGACATGTGCTCCGATAGTTATCGAAATATTCGTCTTGCATGGGTGTGACATCTCACTGCATCTCAGTTTGGCCGTCGAGGTGAAGGACGTCGGCGACACCAAGATCACTGCGTTAGCTTTATGTGACCGAATCTTAGTATAAAGATACTGATGACCAGCCCATACTACACACTTGCCTCAACTACAGCTCGTGCGAAGCCCAACAACAATTCCTGCAATCCTCTACCCCGCCCCCTACAAGATGAGTAACAAAAACATCGTGCCTCGTGTAAACTGGGACGAAGGCTTCCCCTGGAAGGGTTACTCCTTGCGATATGACATTACAACAGCCATTCCAGAGTACGAAAAAGATAATCCTCGCACATGGCCATTGATACGCGATGCCATTACAATGGAATATCGACCCACAGTTCCTCCGAAGTATTTGGCATATGATCAGACCCTCATTAAGAGTTTCAAGCGTCTTCAAGGTTCACCCAGTAGACCCAGTCGAACGAGCCAGTATTTGACGAACCTCTTCCTGTACTATCCATTCAATTACAATAGTCACGGCCAACTACGAGAGCATCCACATATACCACCTAATGATCTCGAACAATGGAAGGACCTTATGAAACAAGAAGTACCAACCACGGCTGAAGAGATGAGAACCGAGGAAGCAATCTATAACGGCCAGGGGGGTGATGACGTTACCGGAACTACCTCACCCGAAGCAGCTATCCAAGAGATGATGATAATGAAGATTTTCGACGACACAGGCGCAGATCATGTGTCTGCGCAAAGGGTGATCGAGCTGGAAGGAGAAGTCGAGAAGATGAGGCAGACGGTTCTGCAAGCGAATGAGAGGGCCGACAGTGAGGAAAAGAAGAGGACTGCAGTGATCGACAGGGGCAAGAAGGCTTATGAGGATCTGGTCCGTGAGAGGAAAGAATTACAGGCGTGGAGAACGAATTTCTTGAACGAGTACAACAAAATGCAGAAAAGGGCTAAGACTGCAGAAGAAGATGCTTGCAAACTCCGGGGAGATCTCGCCAGCCGCGACAACGATCTAGAAAAGGGTAAGGCAACAGTCGAGAAGCTCGAAGCTGAAGTCGAGCAAAGGAGGAAGGATATCTCGACGGCAAACCAGAGAATAGTAGGGCTGGAGAAGCAAATCTTCAAACTTTTCGAAAAAGCGAAGAAAAAGGAACAGGGTACAGATACACAGAAGAGAGCAGCGGTTGATGATGTATCGGAGGCACGGCGGAAGAAGTTGAAAGCGGAGGCCTGAGAGCCGTGGTGGCAACATGCGGGGTTCATATGCGTCTGTGGCACTGGCATATACTATCCCAATTGCAAAAGGAAACCCCGGAGATAAAACGGCCATATCAAAGCCACAGGGCCACCAAACCTTGGAAGACATGGCGGTACCAAAAAAGGTTAGCTCACAGACGTCATGTTTGGAGTGGTTCTCGTCATTCCACCCCATCCACAGGGATTGCTATCATGCATTCATACTTGCATTCTATCTTCTACTATCTGTTTTGGCGTCTCTGTACAAGCACCTCTGGGTCCAAGTTTTGTTTACGACCTTTCTTATACCTTTCCGAGACCTCTGGTAAAAGTACATCATTTATTCGAGACTCGATGCTTCTTGGGTCTGAGACACGCCACGACGTAGGTAATGTAATCCAAAACATCACCTTCTGTTTCCATCCCTAAGAAGCGTCTTCTCGTTTGCCCACAGCGACCAATACTAGGTGCCAACTCCAGCCAAGAAGCTTTCTGGTAAAAACTGAGTCATGTTCGTCTTGAGCATCTAGTCTGGTTGTCAATAGCTATGCGCTATCGTGGAAATGCCGACCTTGGCTGTCCGGATCCTTCCATGGCACCAGTCTCAACACAGTAAGAATGGCGAGCGGGTGATCTTCAGACGATGATGGACAGAAGCTGAATTACCGTAGCTTGCGGCTACAAAGTTCCGTGACTCTACGCTAGAAGCAGGAAGCATGGTGCGATTCGCTGTATCTGTTCTGCCAAGGTTAAGCCCTCCGGTTTCACAAACCCGTTGTTAGCGCGCGATCTAAACCTTGGAATGCATAAGGAAGGATGATGTCTCCACAGCCCGTTGTTCACTCCAACAAGCAAAGACCCTTAAACGTCTTTCGCGTCTGGTTCTACATTCTACCTAGGTAGGAAATAAATTATTACGCTTTCCGTGAACAACTAGTAGAGGGGAACTACCACGTTTGTCGGCGACACGGTACCCATATATGTTTTGGTCTATAATCTTCTTAATGAAACGTCTACACTGAGATGATAACGAAAATCGGCATGGCTTCCTGCTTCAGACCCTCCACTAGAACAGGTTTGCTCCTGAAAATAGAGTAGGTTGATAGACATCGTAACGAACATTCCTATAACATTGTGCAGGAACTTCATCTGGGAAGGGTCGTAAGGTGTGTGCGGTCCGCCTCAAAAATACCGAAAGTTTGGGTTAACAGCAGACATACCCATAAGTGATTCAACATGCAGCGGCGAATTAACGTAGATGCATATTTAGGAACATGATCACGAATTAGGCATTCGAGACGAGGCCAAATGTTACCACTGTCTCGGGCAGTTGCTGCCCGGACGATCAGTGTTTGTAAGGACATTGTCATCAGGCACTAGCCAGCCCTCTAACTTAGACCAAACATGGCATTACCCGCCTTGCCGTTACATATACAACTTATCCTTATCTCGCGTTCAAGACTAGTCCTCATGAGCTGGGGCATTCCTTCGCCTTCACTGACAAGTTGAACTCGTCCGGGAGACTGGGATCTTTCGATTTCTTCCATTCCATCCCGGTCTTCAAACAACCAAAATATCGACTCAGCTCGAGAACCTGAAGAGCAACCCGGCTGAAGATGACGGGCCGTTGATGAGCATTGCGACATGGTGCCTTGTTGGGGTTTCTGGGGCCTTTCTGATCGTGAGGCTTATTATCCAGAAAAGCCAAAGGAGATTATGGATTGATGACCTTTTGCTTGGGCTCAGCTGGGTAAGTGAAGATTAACCGACATACACACGTGAGACTCACGGATTGCAGACATTGCTCCTTGTTCAGGTTATTCTGAATCAACTCGCCATCAATCTAGGTTACGGAAAGCATGCGCTCGACGGTAGGACATTGCCATAGAGGCCTTATGGAGTGCACAGTTTCTGACTCTTCGCGTAGTTAACCTGTCAAATTTCAATACCATGATATATCATGGTGCTTCCGAGCTCACGGTATCCATTATCGCAATCACACTGAGCAAGATTTCCTTTGGAGTAACCTTGCTTCAATTGACCAGCGGTTGGACTAGATATTACGTATGCTTTACTATCACAACCCTGGCGGTTTTTGCGATCCCGGCCGCTACTGTACCCTGGACACAATGCAAGCCCATTGCTAAGACCATTCTCGATATCCTCCCCGGCACATGTGTTGACAAGAGGCCCTCTGTAAGATATGGGAACTTTCAAGCCAGTGAGTACGACGTTCGTTGCACATGCTCTAGGAGTATGGAACTGAGTTGATCCTTAGTATGGTCTGCACTGATGGACGTGTCTCTTGCCTTGCTACCCTTGAAAATTCTGTGGAACGTTCAGATGCGTACCGCAGAAAAGATAGGAGTTGGTCTGGCTATGAGCTTAGGTGTCTTGTAGTTCTCCGTTTTGCTTAGCTTTGGAGTTGTACTGACATGACTGAAGTGCGGGAGCTGTGGCTATTGTTAGAGCCCAATATATTGAGAAATTGGCTGTGCTGGATACATCTTGTAAGGCTGCCCAAGGTCTCGTCATGATCATTGTTGACAGAAGCAGACGACTCGTACACTTCCATCATCTGGGCGTCAGCAGAAGCAGCTATGGCGATCGTAGCCACGTCGATACCCGTACTCCGCGTCGTTCTCAAGGGAGTGGTCAACACAGCCATCGAGGGCTATAGCACGTCCGGCCGAAGCAAATCAAGAACAAATCCGAGCCAGGCATTGAGCTCAGGGGGGTGGAAACAGTCAAGCAAGAGGCCGACCGATCTATCAGTGACCTTATGCGGGGACGAATCACTGATGAAAAGCCACGGCAAAGGTTACTTAGAGCTGGAAGATCTAATTGTTGATGAGGATACTGGCCGGGTCTCAGTCGCAACTCCAGTGTCTATATCAGAAGCGAAGGAGCAGAAAGTGCCGCAATGGCCTCTGTGAGACGAGTAGAGCGCGTCTCATGAGAAGAGCAAACCGTAAGCACCTAGGTAGGAAAGCAATGTAACATTCTTGTACGGGCAGTCGTTCAGTACGCAATGCGGAGGAAGATGACGCCATTGTTGTGTGAATCGCAACTTGGGAAGCTGCCCGGGCGGAATGTGGAAGCCATATCAATTCGTCATGTGGTCATTACTCAAAGCAGGAGTGACCTGCTGATCCTCCTAGGTCTGGCATATCTGCGAATATGTCCGATGCGGGTCATTCTATCAAAGACAAAGAGGGCGAGGAAGTGGCAATTTATTTAGATGTGGTTCAGGGATTCGGCCATGTGCGTCGATCTGTGGCACGAGTCGCTAGTGCCGGGAATGGCTTAAACCTGGCTCGACATCATTGATAACCTTCATCCATTAGTGCACTGCTTTTATCCGTAGTATTCAAGGCGCACAGTGAAACCACGTTCGATTCTCCAATCATAAGAGGGCTGATGATGCGTCGATCATGGAGATTTCCATGTCAGCCTTAACCTCCTGAGCAAACAAGACCCTTAACCTCGCTGAACATGCAGTAGCCACGACGCTAGTCAACCAGAGTTGTACGTCTACGCGCGCGAAGCCAAGTTCGTTTGCCATCAGGGAAATACATATAATTCCACATGAAACTCAGTGCTTAGGCTTGGCGATCCCAACGTCAAATCTCCCTTACTGTCACTCCTTTATCGGTATTGGATTTTCGCAATCATGAAGGCATCATTGCTTTGCAGCGCAACGCTTTTCTCTTTGGCGACCTTTGCCTTCCCGGCCAACTTGCTCAGCAATGACATTAGCGATGACACGCTCGCGGACATCGCTGTTTTGGCGGCAAAGATAAAACGAGCTGCCGAGGAGAGGCCTGATGCCAGCAATGTAAAACGTGGATTCAATGCTGATGCTCAGCGCATCAGCACCTCCGGTGACCACCAATATGTACGCCATCTTTTACGAGAGAGATCGTCTTCCAAATGCTGACCAGACCTTTCGCAGATTGCACCAGGCCCAAATGACCTCCGTGGACCTTGTCCTGGTCTGAACGCCATGGCGAACCATGGCTACATCTCCCGCTCCGGCGTGAGTTCAATCGTGGAATTGACTACAGCGTCTAACGAAGGTACGACATGATTCGATATGCTAAGTGCCATTGTCTGACACCATACCAGTCTTCGGCATGGGTCTCGATCTATCCGGATTCTTGTCAGTTTACGCTGCTGTTATGGATGGAGATGTCGCGTCGGTCTCGATTGGCGGCGCGCCGAAGAGTGGATTGTTAGGAGGAGTTACCTCCTCAATTGGTCTTCTTGGAAAGCCGCAAGGTCTGACTGGATCGCACAACCGTTTCGAGTGCGATGCATCACCCACGCGATCCGACGAGTACGTTACTGGAGACCCAGCGTCAGTCAACCTGTCCCAGTTCGAGGAGCTCGTGGCCATGCCTCTCGGCCCGAACGGTATCGATCTCTCAGTCATATTTCCATTCCGGGTAGAGCGCACCAAACAGTCGATCGCTACCAACGGACACTTTTTCGCTGGCCCTCTCACACATCTTGCTGTCAACTCTGCAGCCTTCTACTTCACATACCGCTTCTTTGCCAACCACAGTGCTGAGTACCCAGAGGGCTATCTAGGTAAGTTATGACTGTACGAGATGCATGCGAGACACACACTGACCATGTGTTTCCACATCTACAGATGTCAATACACTCAAATCATTCGAGGGCATTACCGGAGAACAGGGCAATTACAAGTGGGCTTCAGGACAAGAGAGAATTCCAGAGAACTGGTATCGCCGCGCCATTGGTGACGACTATGGAATCTTAGGCCTCGACCTTGACGCTGTTAATGCAATCACGAAATATCCTGAACTGGTCCGAGTCGGTGGCAACACGGGACAGCCGAATACTTTTGTGGGTGTTGATGTCGACGACTTGACAGGCAACGTTTTCAACGCGCAGACACTGCTCGAGGGAAACAATGCTATGTGTCTTGCATTCACCGCTGCTCAGGTAGCTTCTCCAGACATTCTGAGGGGCCTGCTTGGAAATATTGTAGAGGCTGTTCAACACTTGACAGACGCCTTGAACCCGATACTCCAGACACTTGGATGTCCTGAGCTCGTAAAATACGATGCGACGCTATTTGACAAATTTCCTGGAGCTGGAAGTGGTCTCTAGTTGTGTCATATTAGGAGCTCGGTGCAAGCAAATGATAGTTAGCGTTCAGTTGTTGCGAAACTACTTCTTAGATTAAACACAATCACACTTACTCCGTGACACGAACGAAGAGAGTCACTTCGTTCGCTTTCGTACCAAAACCTCTAGTACGTGCACGACTCATCGACCGCTCATGTATGCTTCTCAATATGCCTTCATGCGTTCTTAATTACACCCCATACAGGAGCTGTTCTGAACGACCCACAATAGCCTGTGGTGAAGACGGGTTGGGGTGAAGGTGAGAGGGGAGCGTTCGCGGTCTCACGGTGAGCTTTCTAGATATGATGCAATGAGTAACGGCATGAGAATGTCTAGAGAGGCTCACCTGGTAACAGTCCATCTCTTGACTCTTCACTTCCCAGCAGCAGCAGCAGCAGCAGCAACAACAGTGGCGGCAGCGGCGGCGGCAACCCACTCTCTACTACCCTTTGGTCTCCTTCAAGGGATACAAAACATACCAATCAGCGAACCAGAAGTGGCTGACAAGACCAGAACATAGGATGACAGCTCTACCCCGCTACGATGGAACGTTCAGTTTCACCTCTTCAAGACTATATGAAAACATCAAGCGTGTCTTCCCTACCTACGATAATTACGATCCAAAAACTTGGCCATATGTTACTCTATCAACGATAGAGAAACATTGTCCCTACCAGGGTTATCCAGATCTGCCGACAGGCGTAGCCTACCAACGAGAGGCGACGAAGCGATACGAAGACTTGTACTCCCCGGAAGATCGAACCGTCGCCGCCTCAGTGAATGGCTCTTTGCATCAGCGTTTCCCGTTCAACTACGACAAGTTCGACGAGCCGAAAGAGCAAGTCGGGATGTCTGGAGCGGAGTATCGGGCATACATGGGGACTACTCTGGCTGCGCCGTCTACACCATGTATCATGCGCGAAGGATGGGAGGATGATATCCCAGACAGCGCAATAGATTGTAACACTCTCCTAAATTATCGTGAACAACTCGAGAGCGCATCCCCAACACTAGGCATCAAAGCTCTGAACCGTGTTTTCTGCGCGAAGAAGAAGTGTGTGGACATCAAACGAGAGGCTAACCGGCTTCGTGGAGAGCTTTTCGACAAAGAGTCTCAGCTTGTGAGCTCGCAAGCAGATCTCAAAGAGTACGAAACAACCGAAGGCTTGCGCAGGAGGGCCATGTACGACGCCCAGTTTGAGTTGGAGAAAGAGAAGCAACGCGCTGATGATGCCGAGAAGAGATGCATGCTTCGCATGGAAGAAAATCTCAGGATGCTCCGTCGCCTGAATGACTTGGAAATGAAGGTGAAGGAAATGGAGGAGTTGGACGCGTATTGTGTCCAGTTGGAGACAGAAATCGAGGCGTTGAATGGCGAGCGAGCGACTGAAGAGCGAGGCCGTGAGCAGCTTTTGGAACCTCGGATGGAGGATGAAAGGTTCAACATGCTACGTAAGAGGATGCGATCGAAAAGTACAAAGTGAGGGTATACATTGGAAGGGTTGCATATCGTTGACGCGGTCGCGGGAACGCGCTGTACGACTGCCGCGGAGCGCCGCAGACGCGATTTCGGCAGCGCTAGCTCATTTTGGTAGCGAACACTTTCCCCGCCCTTTGCGTCATTCTCATGAACTGTCACTTCTAGCTATAAATTCCGCTGTGTCACTCAATGAGGCAGGAGTTTTGCTCTGGTGTTACTCTGGACCTAATCGCTGACTCAGACTTGTCATCCCACGCCCTATAGCCACAACCAGATGAGTACGGTTTGACAAAGGAAGAAAAGCTCGTAGTTTGCATCCACAAGATCTCACAAAGCACAGCTATTATTGATCAACTTAGCTGAAGGCTTGCGAAGCCTCTTCTGTTTGGGCGTTCAGCGGTACCACAAATATGGCACTCGCAGCCACCACGCAGATTGCGGTTATACTATCTATATTCATTTTACCAATTCTCACATATCTTTACTTCAACAACGTTGAAGAAATAAAGAGTACCGCTGGCCCTCTGCCACCTGCGACTGAAATCACAGGCCTCTTCATACACCCGATCAAATCATGCCATGGTTTGTCTGTGAAGTCAGCAAAGCTCTTGCCAACCGGCCTCGACCTCGGTGCGCTTTCCTAATCAGCTTCCAAAGGACTCTTTTATGCTGACAGAGCCAGATCGACAGTGGATGTGGGTGAGCTACCCGAATTATGAGTTCCTGACGATCCGTCAAAACTCGAAGATGACACTCATCCGGCCGACATACGACGAGAAGACTGATACCCTTACCGTCACTGCACCAGCACCAGATTCCATTGATGAGAAGCTGGAGTTCTCCATCCCCGCTCACCCGTCGAAGGAATGGCTCGATCAGAATACCGAGGAGCACTCAGCAAAGATATGGAGTACTACAACAGGAACTCGCGTGTACTCTACTGAAATGACCGGCCCGTTCAACAAATTCTTCGACAAGGAGGTGCGACTCGTCTACAAGCCTCCGGTTTCCGATGACCCCAGGCCTCTCGTATCGAATGGTGCACCAAAGGTCTTAGGCAGAGACGCATCGACTTGTTTCCCGGACCTGATGCCCGTGCTAGTCGGTAATCAAAGCAGTATCGATGAACTCAACACACGCCTCAAGGCCGCAGAGGACCTCACCATCGATGTCCGCCGATTTAGACCTAACATCCTCGTCAAAGGTGATGTCAACGCTCCCTGGGACGAAGATCGCTGGAAGACTGTCAGGATCACGCCCAAGGCTGGTGGAAAACCTATTGTCCTGGATATCACCCAGCGATGCGCGCGCTGCCAAGTACCAAATGTACATCCTGATTCGGCAGAGAAGCACAAGACGCAACCCTGGGATGCGCTGATGAAGTACCGGAGGATCGACGAGGGAATTACATACAAGCCATGCTATGGTATGCTGGCTGTGCCGAAGACGGTCGGGGATCTCAGGGTCGGAATGAGGTTCGAGGTTACGGAGGTCACAGATAAACATCGGTATATCGCTGGCTTCTGAAAAGACGAAGTAATGATCTTCCGTCGTAACGCAAGCCGGTGTGATATAGTTGTCGCACGATTCTCCACAAATGTTGTACATCAGCTCGGATCGCCCCTTTTGTCAGCCATGATGGATCTTTGTAGAGGCTAGCTGCAAGCCGCGCCCAACCCCCTTCGGAGAGTGTACATGCAACCAACTTGGAAGCACGTTCAGTCTACCACAATTTTTCAGGAAAATGTCACAAAAATAGTTGGATCTTCACAAACTCCACATGCGAACGCTAGCAATAATGACGAAACGATTGATGATCTATCTAATCTGCAGCGCAAAGACAGCCGAAGCGGCTCCGCCTCTAATCCATATTAGGCTTAGCGACGCGTCACGATAGACTAGGATACACCCATCAAACCATCTATGGCTGGCTGTGTCTCCAGCTCTACTTCCCATTGAGGAATGTGATGTTACTACCAAGTCCACATATACTATGGCTTCGTCGATTTCGAGTTCTACACTGTTCGCGCGCGCAACATGGCTACCCAATGTTTCGAAACAGAGCACCGCAACTTGGTGGAGACTACGCGCGTTCATGATCGGACCGTGACGTCTGACGACGACTGAGACCCCGGCGTTGCGATGCAGGGACACGGAGGGGGATACAGAGGAGAGGCAGATCGTGCATCGTACCTGACATACAACGGTACGACGTATCACCGATGCCCGTTTTGAGCGAGGGAGGAACAGCCTGAGGCATTGCTCCTTCTGTTATCACACAATTCATCATGGCAGGCGATGCGATGCTGGCCATGCCAATGACTCCTACACAGTCGACCAAGGAGTTTGGAAATGCGGCGGTACAGTGGGCTTGCACGCGTCGAGGGAGGATGATGGTCTTGACGATCACGCTTCTCACCATTCTGCTGGGATTGACTGGTATGAGGCATCATGAGGTGCGTTTGGTTCATTCCGATATCAGAGAGAGAGAGAGCGCGCGCTGAGCACATGCGAGACGTGCCCCGCTACAACTGACTGTCACTTTTCAGGTTCAGGCTAACTTTTCTCAGACCATATCTTCACAATATCAGAGCTTTTCCTCCTACTATCCATGGCGACCGTACCTTCCAACTCTGCCCGATATCGTGCACTCGCCCTTCAAGATCCCCTCGAATACGACGCTGCAAATCGAGAACGGTGAGCTCGACCACGTTCCACCAAAGCTCAAGAAAACGACTGCGAACTTCCACCTCCTCATGCCATCCGAGCGCGACACAGATGGCTTCTGCAAAACGACCCTGTCTGCTATGCTTCTCAACTACCCTCCGCCGACTGCAGTTCAGCTGTACACCCCATATGATTCGGACATCAAATGGGAGAGGGGCGTGTTGAACAGCACACTTCACTACCTGAGTAATGAGAAGCTGGTGAAGGATCAAGATTTGATACTCATCGTGGACGGCCAGCAATCATGGTTCCAGCTGCCAAGCGATGTGATAGTCACCGAATACAAGAGGCTGCTGGCAGATGCGAACATGCGGCTGCTGAAGAAGTATGGCGTTGACAAGGATGGCTACCAGAAGTTCAACCAGACAATCGTATTTGGCGCAGAGAAGATGTGCGAAAGCGACGATATGGCCTGCAAGTACGTGCCGCAGTCGATATTACCGGACAACGCATACGGAACGGAGAACGGCCGTCGCATATCTGACACCCCAGCGAAGTTTATCCATTCAAAAATGGTCATGGGTCCGGCGAGCGACTTGAAGCTACTGTATCAGGCTGCACTAGAGAAGTTCATGGAGGCTAGAAGTCAATTGCAGACGGTTCGGTCTGTGTTTGCGACCCTGTTCGCTGAGCAACAGCTGAGAAGAGATGCCGAGGAAGTTGCTTCGAAGCATACCAGTGCCAAGGTCAAAGACTTCATAACTGGTAGAGCAAGCAAGTCGGAAGCCGAGCGAAGACTGGAGCGAGCGAATGCCGAGCTCTCGAATACTACACGACACGAGTTTTCCATCGGATTGGACTATACCCATGCGCTCTTCCAGCCTTTGGAGTACTGCGTCGAAGACGAACTCGTTCCTCTTTTGCACGACGACTCAACCGACTTGTCGCAGTACAGTCGCTTCGACTCGAACAGCCAGTATCTTTCCCTCCCAACTGCTCTCAACGAGACCAAGCCTCCATTCTGGCGCCCAGACTTTGTCGAACACAACCCATCTCCCAACGAGAAACCAGCATACATTGACAATCTAGAGTTTACCCTGGAACTCGATGGCCTGCCAAGCCGCAAGCTACCCTGGGAAGGCGTTCCTCTAATACAGAACACATACTCCGGTTCCATACCCGCCATCATTCTAAGCAGCTCTTCACCCTCTAGTGGCGAGCGTCCGCCAATAGCAAACGTCAACTGGGATAATTTATGGTATGCAGGACATGAACGTGCAATGTTGAGAAATTATTTCCGCGCCCTTCAGTCTCCGAACGGATACCACAACCACCTCGTAGGCGGCGACCGCTACTGGGACAACCGTGGAGGACGAGGCGGCATATGGACTGAAGCCGAGCAGATCTGGTACCCCTGGGGCGAAGTCGACGGCGTATGTGGAACCTTGCCACAACTGCAACAAATTTTCCAAGACGGCAAGGGTGTGTGGTTGCACGAGATGGAGCAAGACAATGAGCAGGGCCGTCTCAACGAGCAAGACGAATTTCTGAAACAGAAAGAGGAAGCAAGACTTAAGGACATTATGGAGCTCATGAAGATGGAGAAGGAGGAGAAGGAGAAGGAGGAGAAAGCGCAGAAAGAGAAGATTGACTTTGAGAGGTTGAAGGAGCTTCAGGGGACTCAAGTTGAAGGTGGGAAGCCAGTTGAGAGGAGGAGGAAAAGATGGGACATTGGGGAGGAGTGTGTGAGGTATTGTTAGTGGATTTTTCTGTTATATACCAGGTCTTCATTTCTTTTGTTTGGGCGGTTTCTTCGCTGGATGCGATTTGGAAGCATCTTCAGGCGCATATTTGGGAGGGCTTTAGAGTATGGTAACGTTGTCCTACTTACCCATATCTTTTTTTTTCACTTCCATCAATCATCGCATCAGATTCGACTAAAGACCTGTCTCCTTTTTCGCATTCTCGTTCCTCATGAATACAGTCAGAAATGCTCCAAGGTATGCGTTGTACAAGTCAGAGTATGTCTTATGTCGACGGCGGGACGCGCCGTTGGGTCAACTGCTGTGTGTAGGGCCTGAACATGAGATGGGACGTGCAAAAAGAATGGCAAAAACATACAACAGCGGGGATTCGCTAGTGGTCACCCACCTAACTACTAATCCGCCGGTACACTGCTTGTATATGGCTGAGCGGACGGGAAGCCTAATTTTCAGTGTCCTATGGTCGTATGTGAAGGGAATAATGGTTGTTAGAATATATAACGTTAGTGATATCTGGAGTCATCAATAGGTTGGCTGGCGGCGAACTGTTATATCAGACAAACAATTATAGGAG